CACCTATCGGATATCTATTGGTCCCCCCGATAGCTACCCGATTGGTCCCTGATATATACCTGAAATATGGATTTCGACCTGTGTGAAATAGAAAAATTGAAAGCCAAACTCTAATCACAAAAAGTACAGAAAACACAGGTACCAGTTTCGCAAACTATTGAACTAGTTAGACAGTCAAGAAGCCCTTATCAAATTTAAAAATGGAAGAAGATTATAAAATTATTATGTAGTGAAATACTTTAATGATTTAGGAATATATAGTAAAGAAGATTTAGATTCAAATTATCCTGAAAAATTTTTTCAAAGATCTCGTACACAGCAAAAAGTTAACTTTGTTAGATTAGAGGAGAAAGTAGATGAAATTGGAAATATGTTATCTCATCTTAATATAAACAATCAATCTCAAAAACTAGTAACCAAATCAAATCGAACACAACGATATTATCCCTTTCAACCAATAAATTCTAGCATTTCAGCTAATGAGGAAAGTAATGAGAGTGGATATGATGAAGAAAAAGATATATAGTATGATTCATCAGAAAAAAAAAAATGGATATTACTAATAGTTGATAAGCTTCTGGAAAAAGGTGAGTCTCAAGATGATATAATCCCCAGAACTTATGATCAATTATTATCCTCATTATCACCAGCAATGTAAAGAATATGCAAATCTTCGTTTACTGCTAAGAAATCAGAAATGAATTGTCTTATGGATAACGAGAAAACAAACGAATGGTTTGAATCTTTTTAATATTTAGTTTGCTATGTATGTGATTTGACGATTTACAATACTTACCTTGATCTAGGGAGTGAATTCAATGCAGTAAATAACGTATTTGGGGAAGCATTAGGATGGAAACCTGATCTATTATTCGACTTCCAATATAAAGGTAATTCAGAACACGTTGACAAATCATTGAGATGGTATACGGATATACCAATTTCCTTAAAAGATAAGGAAGAAAAAACTATTACTATTATAGGAAATTTTGCACGTATTGATGATAGGGAACCAGAACCTATAATTTGTTTAGGTATGGCATGGATTCGAAAAGTTAAATATGTTCCAGATACTGATAAAAAGATATTTCGCATAGAAATACATAGAAAGACTTATATTATTCCAACATTTAGCAAGTCCCAGAAGTATTGGATCTACTAAAAGAAAAGCAAGATTCATCATCTCAAGTATCTACCATCTCATCTAACTTGACTAGTAAAGAAGACTTAAAAAAAAATACGTAAATTCTGACAAACAAGATGACTTCTTTCTCATACTAGAATTCCATTCCAAAATTCATATTATATCAAGTATAAATGATGTAGAAAATAAAGCAACTATTAAAAAGGAATTTATTAGAATCCTTGATTATGCAGAATATCTTAAAAAGGAATTGATACGATTTCAAGATAAATCTTGAAGTTGATTTTTATATTCACGCAATTTTTCCATTCTGGTTTGCATATCACTATTTGATATTGATGAGATAGAATGATATATAGTTTTCGATTCTGATAGATTTTCACCTTTAGGTAATTCTGCAATAGACTTGACTTATTGATCTTTTTTCTGCTAGGTTTTTTTGATACAAGTTTACTTGAAGGAATTACTTGCTCAGGATTTAAAGTACCTGATGAATTATATTTGGATAAGATTTCTGGTTGAGATATCAGCAGAACTGTCATGGCCAAGTTAGATGAATTAATAGATGAAATTTCTATTTTAGGCAGTTGAGGATATATCCGATTATTTACAATATCATCATATTTTTCACTACTGATTCTATAATAACTGCACATATCCCGTTTTCTATTAGGTATTTTTCTTGCATAAGCATCTCTTATTTTTTCGATTGCTTCAGAAGTTAATGGAATAGCATTAGAATTGATATATGTTTAGACTCGATGTTTAGTATTGGACTTAACCATTTTAAAAATATATAAAAAAATATCTAATTTAAATCCAGATAAATATTAGGTAATAATCAGGTAAAGACTAGTTTCTTTTTATATAAAACCAATTAATAACCAATTAATAACTAGTTAATAACCAATTCTTGTTCAAATTCCTTTTATATAAATTAGTAAACATTATTTTTCAATTATATGACATCAGTACACACCTTGTATAGTGAACTCACCAATGCAAAAAAATTTTAAGGGTGTGGATATAAATTAGATAGTACTAGAGAATGCGAACTTAAATTTTAACGCAATGAATTACTTCTTGAAACTGAATTTTTCATTAATAAATGTTCTGAATTTAGAAATGTTAAATCTCTTGTAGAAACGAGATCTGATGTTCTTACTAAGGAGTTGGAGAAGAAAAATAACAAGATTTTAAATCTCTAGAAAAAATTAAATCATTGTATTGATGTCAAAAATCAATATGACTTGATTAATAAACAACTCAAAGAAGAAATCAAACAATTGAAAAGCAAAAATACCAATCTTACGGAATATAAAATCAAGTATCATAATAAACTGGAAGAAGTGAATATATTGGAAGGTAAGTTAGCTTCAGTTTAAAAAGATTCATCGAAAAAAAAATCTAAGATATTATCCCTTAAATCTAAAATAGCTGAAGTGGAACGGGAGTTAGCTTCAACGGTTAGTAAGCTCAAACGTCTAAAATCAGAGGATGTATCGATATCTATTATTGGTGGAAATGATGAAAAAAATATATTAAAGTCCGATAATATCTCTGTAATTAGTGAACCTATCAAAAGTTTTAGACCATATCTAGTACGCAGAAAAAGTATAGATCAAGTAGTACATAGTGTCGAATCTCTGATTCCTGAAAAAATCAATGAAAATATTTTAGCTTATATCGATAATCCTATACCTGAGTTATCAAAAGTTGATACTGAGACTAGTTCCAAGATAAGTAATGAAATCAATATTAATGAAACTAACAAGGATAATAAATTAAATGTGTCTATAAAACCTGTTATACCAATTATTACAGAGTAAACCCAAAAGGCGATCCAAGAACCATGGCTCGAAGAATTTGCACTTGAGAATGTAACCCCATACCTTGTACAAGTAGGAAACTATACTTCCTTTCCAATATTCAATGAATACCCCATAGAGTCTAAATTATATTCGCAAATTTCGGTAGGAAGAATAGAAGTGATAGGACTAGTGTTGGGTGATATGAGCTAAGCCGAACCAGGTCGAGCCGAACCGAACCAGACCGATGGGGCCGAATCAGTTTGACTTGAGGATTCCAAGTTGTCAGTTCGGTTTGACTTCAAGTCGGTCAAATCGCGGCTTAGCTTGACTTGATTGTTCCAAGTCGAAGGGGGTCAATGGGACCGATGGGGTCGAACCATATCATGTGTCAATTATATATGATTGACATTCGAAGTGACCAATCACAGT